TTATAAATTATCAAGGGTTCACGAGGGTGGAAGGATGGGCTGAGGGAGGAGAAAAAAGAGGAATTAATACCAAAGGCTCAAGTAGAAAGAAAATGTTTTGAAAATGATGATGGCAACATATGTTCAAATGTGCTTGATACAATTGATGCGTGGGTTGTTTTAAGAGCTCCCAATAAAATGATTTATTTAAAAACCCAAGTGAACAAAAAAGATTATGCTAGAGAGGAGTGTTTACAAGATTAGCCCCAGGGCATGACTCTTGACTGTGGACACCAGTATGGCAGTTTTCCTGAGGAGTGAAAGGGAGACAGAGTGCCTCCCCTGGGCTGGCTAGGTGGGGTGGAGGTAAGTCCACTTTACAGTGCACACTGCCCGAGAGCAAGGCTGTTCACATTCCTGATTGGTGGCTCCCCAATGGATTTTGAACTTTCATTGGGTGATCTTAGGGCTCAGAATTTAACCATTAACACAGTATAAAATAACAGTCAGGGTTATATGAAAATAACAAAATTGTAAATTCAAGAAATCTACATTCTTATTTCAGTCTAATTGTATAAAATTTCCTTGAAATTACACTCAACAATACAGACACTTAGGAATTAGAAAAGCTGGGCATTTGGCAAAAGTATTTAAGAGGTTTGTAAATGATAGGCAAATTTAGTTCTCATAATAGTAACTCTATTTTCTTACCATATTTCTCAAACACATCCTTTTTTCTCTTAAAAATACAAGGGTGAACTTTTAAAAATCGTGCTACTGGGTTTCTAATTCACAGGTGCACGCATTTATTCCAAACAAAACACGTTTAAACATGTCTCTGGGAGCACAGTTCCTGTACTTAAAAGAACTAGGTGACAGTCCACCATTTCAGGAGGGAGCATGTGAGCAAGAACAATGGTGCTGGAGCAAGACGTGCAGTCAGCACTGAATGCATTAGTCAAAAAACAGGCTCTAGGAGTGGATGGAATACCTACTGAAATGTTTCAGCAAGCTGATGAAGCCCTGCAAGCACTCACTCGTCTACACCAGGGAATTTGGAAGGTAGCAGAACCTGGCCAATGGACTGGAAAAGGTCCATATTCACTCGAATTCCAAAGAGAGGTGACCCAACAGTGCTACGACTGCAGAACCGTGTTATTGATATCACATCCAAGTGAAATTGTGCTGAAGATCATCCAACAGTACATTGACAGGGAACTGATAAAAGTTGAGGCCAGATTTCAGAAGAGGGTGTGGAACGAGGGCCATGACTGCTGATTTTAGGTGGAGCG